GGGGGGGGGAGGGGAGGTTCTGTTGCCTGTTCTTAGTACTACTAATTCCAGCTCTAGCTTGCTTGCCATTAACCGAGCTAGCAGCAAGAGCAGCAGTACTGATAACGGTAGCACAGTACTCTTGATGAGGTCAAGCTGGATGAAAGGCAAGCCTGCTGTAGAAACGTCTACTGTAAGTTCTGAAGACCCCTTCCCACATCCCCTCCAGATGAAATTCAGTTATGTACATAACAGCGTAGGGCTGCAGCATTCTGCATCTACTACATGATTATGGAATTAGATCACGTATAGTAAGTGTTGTCAGATTATGTGCTAACATACTGAAACTGAATTTGTCAATCATGCATTAGTTGATTAGTGGTGGGTGAGTTATCATGCTATACATTTTTCTGAGTGGAGAAAAGTGGTTGTTTTGCCCTTTCAAAAGCCTCCACAGTTGTTAAGGTTATAGCTTACCAGGTTTGGAGTTATATAGTGTTTTCTAGATGGAGTAGTTACAAAGAACCTTTTTAATTGCTCTGTGTTCTAGTGGTGTTTCACCAGATGAAATTAACATAGCTAATTTGAGTTCAGAGATTTTCTAGTAATGGTTTATATTGGAGGACAGCTGTTGAAACATGCATTCAATTAAAAAGAAAAAAAGCCTGATCCAAATCATGGAAACATCTATACATAATAGTGACCAGCCAGTAGAATACTGGTAAATAAGACCCGCTTTGTATATGTTAATATTGTAAGCCAGGTGAGGGATTTTTGTCTCTAACATGATTATAGACTCTCTTCTGAGCAAATTGTTTTAAAATCCAATTCCGTGTACAATAAAAGAAGAAGCAGAATGTCAGTTTTTTTCTCTTTTGCTTGGAATGTTTTAGGCTTTGCTGTAAAAATCATCACAGCCTCTCTTTTGTAATTCCTTAAAATTATTTAGGGATTTATATAATAGAGCAACTGTCGTTGCAGCAGTGATATTCTTTTTTACAAAATTAAATATATATAAGAGACAGCTACACACCAGAGTTAGCAGTAAAGAACCATTGGTGCTGCCTTAAGAAATGTGAACAACTGTCTTGTAAATTTTTCAGCAATATAAACAAAAAAAAGAACAACCATGTAAAAGCAAACCCAAATAATTCATGTCCTGGCCCTGAAGCTTGTTAGACTCTGGCTCTGATGAACCACCAAGGGGAGTGAATTCCATATTAAAAGAGCTGAGTTAAATAATTACCACCCAGACATAGTTTATGAATATATTGTAATTTAAGAGGCAAGAAAGTGTTATGTTTTGTTGCAGAATTTACTATACTTCCACACCCCTCCTCCCCCCACACACACCATACACTTTGGAAGGAGGTGGCATAATTTTTCTGTTTTTGTTAATCCTCAACTGTTATATCTGGAAAATGGGCAGATATACTATTGCTCCTCTGTCTTGAACACAAACAAGCTAAATGTTGAACACCATGCCACGAATTCATAGCACTGCAACGAGCAGAAAAATTCACATTAATATATATACCTCTGATTAGACTCTAATTTACCTTCATTATAGAAAGTTCTTGACTATGATGGTCCAATTAGCATTGATAAGCATTTTATTCAAAATTTACTTGATCCATGATTTCCAGAGTTGAGCAATGGGGATGAATGAGGGGAAAAATCATGTGAAGTTAGTCCTTAATATTACGATTTCTTAAGATATTTATTTACATGAGTGGTTTAGCAAATTGAAACTCTCTTGAGGATGCTGATGCTCAACTATGCTTGTTGTTTAATAGATAAAGAAAAGAAGCTTCTGGAGGGGAAGGCATTTTGCTTTTGTATACCTGTATCAGAACTTCGCACAATGTGCCCCTGTTGCTGACTGGAACTACTGCAGTACAAATATTATATAATAATTTATGAATTAATACTTGCTAATGATCACCATTGTTGCCACTGAAACATCAAAGTTGCAGTACAGCCTTAAGTGGATTTTTGTGAAGGGCCCCCTTGGGTGTTCTGAACTATCCCCATTTTTAAACATGCATAAGTACATGACATATATTGCTACTTGTTTATCCAGTTGGTGATGCTTGGTGATTGTTTTCATTTTAGCATTCAGCTCCTGAGTTGATCCTGGTTGAAGGTGAGATGACGGATACCGAAGATAATGAAGAGGAGGATTTAGGAGTCATGGAAGATCAGCGTAGCATAATTCTTCATCTCATCTCACAGCTCAAACTTGGCATGGATCTAACCAGGGTAGGCACACTACATCTATCTATCTATCTATCTATCTATCTATCTATCTTAGTCACTCATTCTTTCTTACTAAATCAGTTCTTCCTCCCAAACTATTTTGTTTCAGATCTCAACTTATTCTGCAAATTCTTAAGCAATAGTTATCATAGATTTGCTTCTTTTCAAGTGTGGTCCCATCCTGGAGCAGTATGGAGGGTGATCAGCTTTCTTAGGCAGGCTTTTCATGTCAAATTATAGCAGCAGGAACTGCAGAAAATGAAGGAGAGGAAAACGTATGTTTGTTTGTAGGCAGTGGTGGAGGAGCTTTACAGATTTGTATTTGTCTTAGTAAATTAGACTTTACTGTGGGCTTTAAAACAAGACCTCACATTCCCTTTGGGACAGTGACTGTTTAATCCAAACGAATCTGGAATTGTGGTATAATGTTTCCACAGGGCAGCTCATAGTTTCATTTGACCAAATCTTTTTAGTCCCATTATAGTCATCAGGAGCAGAATAGAGGCCATGATAAAATTTCTGTCTTGCTGTTTAGGGCCCTCATTTTGTAACCACTTACACATCCTTAACTATGTTGATAGATGCTGGAACTACGGGTGCTGGGGGTGCGGCAGCACCCCCTGTTTTGAAGTGGTTTCCATCAGAGACAGGGTTTACAGTTTTGTTTAATGGCTGTCAGCCCACCCACTATAGAAATTGTTCCAGCACCTATGACTGTGGTGTGAGTAGACACATTGGACTTGGTATGTTTGCTCATGTGAGTAAAGTTGTTCACGTGCATAAATGTTTGCAAAGCCAGGGTCTTTATCGCCTTTTCTTACTGCTCATTCAGGGCAAAATCCTGCATTCTTTGTACATTCAAAACACCCATGAAAGCAATGGGTTTATTGGCTGTGCGAGAAATGCAGGATTAGGCCCATAGTCAGTTTCATTTCACCTGCATCTAAAAAGACAAAGTGAACACTGGGAGTTAAAGGCTTTCAATTTAAGGAACAAGGAAGGTGGGTTAAATTAGTACTTTGGTATCAGATACCTTTGGATCACATGAAAACTTCAGGCAATCTACTATAACAAAATTATGGCCCCTCAGGACAAAACTACTCTTCATGTTACAGTCATATTACAAAAGATTACACTTTGTGTATTCCTTTGTTCTGAAACCATTCAAATAAAATAAAATAAAATATAATATAATTAATATAATATAATATAAAAAAAATCATAGAATATCAGGGTTGGAAGAGACCTCAAGAGGTCATCTAATCCCAACCCCCTGTTCAAAGCAGGACCAATCCCCAACTAAATCCCCAAATGACCTCCTCAAGGATTGAACTCACAACCCTGGGTTTAGCAAGCCAATGCGCAAACCACTGAGCTTTCCTTCCCCCCATTAAAAGGAATCTTGTTGTAGAGGTGTCATCTGAGAGATTTTCTGTAAACCCCTGCAGAGTTGGAAAATTTGTAGATAGTTTGAAAATGAGAACTTCCTCCCATTAATAATTTTGTATTCCACTCTCTAGTGATTTTCTCTCTTGTGGATACATAGGCTTTGAGAGGATTTTTTTTTTCTAATGGCATGGAAAGGAGGTGGCATACAGAAAGCTTTTTGTTGTTGTTTGTTGTCAAAGAAGTGAAATAAGTAAAGTGAATTTATTCTGACTTGTTTCCTCCACAAATAAAAGCAGAATGGGAAGGTCGGAGAGTTGTGTTTGTATGGTAGAGTAATTATGAAAGAGAGCTCTTCTCAAAGGCATGTGGATATACAAAAAAGCTTGGCTTGCTTTCCTTTTGATCTTAGAAACAGATTTTTATTAATTTACATTGTATTATTTTTCTCTGAAATAAAGGATTTGCCCAGTGTGGTCTATCCTCTCCTCATATACTTGCGTATATGCCTCCTTCTCCTAAAATGATGGAAATAATATGACAAAATAATATGAACAAGACAACTTCAAGGTTAAATAGTCCTTTAATCCATTGCAAAAATAATATCAGATACCAGTACTGCCAGTAATGTTTATTTCTGAGTGCAACCAAAGTTTCACCACTTAATTTCTGAATTACTTCTGTTCTCATTTCTTAGAGCTGAGAGAAACACCTAGACCTGTATACTATTTGTATTTTTGTTTGTTGGTTGGTTTTTGCATTCTTCAGCCTCTTAGGGCTCTTCAGCTTTAGTGGTCTGGTATAAATGCGGTAACATTTCTATTTTGAATTCAGAATCTTACAGTAGATCTAGAAGCTTCATAGACCTCCACCGTTAACACCTTCTATTTTGTAAACCATTTTCTACTTTTGGTAACCTAGATGACTTTTATCACCCCACAAAAACACCTGAGGAGGCAGTAAAACTATTTCAGTCTAATATATCAAACTATCTCTGAGCTTTTTAGAGATGGTGATGGGGGATTTCTCTTTAAATTTCCAGTCCCTTCTCTGTATGTGTGCTGCCACACAAAACCCCCAAATACAAAATAGTATGAATGAGAGGAACATTAAATTGAGGCTATATCAAGTGAAACATTAATATCTTCTTTTCTGATCAATCACTTCTCATCCACTGTGGGAATCAAATACTTAGGATTTTTTGCCCCAAAGGATAATAATTTGTTGTAGGCTGTGGGTTGTTTGTTTTTTGTAACAATGTAAATATTCCTAAGTGTGCAAAAATAAATAAATAAATAAAGGTTACAAGAATCTATTCTCTGACCTTGATCTCAGATCACATTGACAGAGTATTACAGGGGGCTATGTGAACTTTGGAGCACACGGATGAATGGCATCTGACCCTAATATTGGCAAAATGTTAATGTGTGTGTATATAGAAGTTTATGCTGAATGAAGAATAAACTTGTTTAGCCATGTCAGGTTCATTTTTAGTGTATATGATGCATGAATGCAAATAGTAAGAGTATCAGTCAGATCATTGTGTTACCATGGGCACATGTCCCTTTTCTAACCATTTGTGAATTTTAAAAAAAAGTACTGACTGGTTGGTTGGTTTTATTTATTTATTTTTTTAAATTGTCTAGATTGCTGACTGATACAGGGAGGCAACCTTTAGCCTGTATAGAAACAAAGCCTAGTTTATTTGGTGGCAGTACTTATTTCATTTTTAACCGTTCCTCTAAAAGTCAAATCCCAGGTAACTTTGATACTGGTCAGCTTTTGGGTCTGCAGGAGCTAGTTGTGACAGATGTTGATGTTAAAATCAAAAGATGTTTGACTTCAGTTTAGTTTTAAATGTTTTTGAATTTCCCAGTGCCTACTTCACCAGAGCTTTTTCTTTAGTTGCTTTCATAAACTAGAAATTGTTGTATGATACTTAGTGGCAATTGCTCCTGAAGACTTATCATAAAATTCCTGAGCCATATCAAAGAAAACAGCATCTTTTCCCTTTCCTAAGGGCTGGTTTCTTATGTTGGCATATTAGCTTTGGCTACATACAAACTGACTCAAGTTTCCTAAGAAGATAATAGCAGCACTTTAATGTTGCAGAGGTGCTCACTGCTGGAATGAGACATGCTGCCCCATTTCATATTGAAGGATTATATTGCACTTGCTGTCTTGACTTGACATCACTGATTACATCGGGTTTTGCTAGAGCAGGCTCCTGCATTCACGTGGACTTTCACAGCAATCAGAAGCGCTGCATGTGGGTTCATGGCTCTGCATTGGTAGATCAGTGTAGCATTGAGGCTTTAGCTGGATCAAGGTTTTTAGGCTGCACTTTAATGTGCTTTTTAAAGTAGATTTATTGTGCAAATAAGTTTTGAAATTTGTTCATTCTTTGGCTTTTAATGAAAAATGACAGAAATTACTGTTAGCCTAATACTTTTTCAGCAGCCGTTTCTGTCCTGTAATTTGGATAGCTGGGTTATCAGTCACACACATTCCATCAGACAGATCAATTGGGACAACTTTTGGTACTATTCCTGCGGTGCCTAGTATCCTCCCCTCTCTTCCCAGTTATTTGCTATCCTAAAAGTAAATGGCTGACAACATAGACAGCAACAAAGTCATGCCATAACCCAGAAGAGAGAAAATAAATCCATTCATCATAAATGGACATGGTAGTTTATTTTCCCATGTTACAAAACTTTTTGCTTATTTTCAAATTACATCTGGCTTGAAACTTAACACTGGGATGCAAATGTGCCCTATTTTTACTTCCACAATAACTTCTTTGAATAGTAAAATGCTTCTGTCCCTCTTAAAACAGTGAATTGTCATCTCAGTGGGAAGTGGCTGTGCCAGATACTCCCTTCCCCCTTCAATAGAATGGCAGCCCAACTCTATTGCCTTACAGCAAGGTGGATAAAAATCGATTATGTTAATTAAAAAAACTCCAATTTGTATTTAAAGCAAATGGTTTAATATTAATTAAATACACTTTTTTTAAAAAATCTATTTAAAAATACATTTGAAATTATGGCAATTTGATAATGTATTATAATCTATAAAAATCATTTAAATGAAAAAAATAATACATGTTTGCTTAGAAGTTTTAAAGAGAGTCAAATCACTGAACTAGGAGACACCACTGGCTAAGCACCTGGAACCAGAGTATGCTGAAGTGTTAAACCAGCTTTTGACAGCAGTAGCTTTTCCTGTAGGCACAGAGAATGCTTTCTTGTCCGGCTGTACCGAAAGGAGGACAGGAGACACTTGATATGGTTTTAATGAGGCCACAACTTTATTATTAGATGTCTGGGACTACTCAGCAGATAAAAATGTACTGTGCAAGTAACCCCATGATCATTTCAATAACTACCTGAGGGCTTATGCCAGTCCCCCCTTTTTCCATCCTGGTCCCCAGCCAACCCATGTGGTTACAGGGGTTAAGGTGGGCTATAAAGGAAGGGGGGTTGGCTCCTGTCATGCCAGTCACAGGAGCCCTGAACCCCCCCCCGCTCTCCCCCCGTTCTGCTCCTTTAACAAACACCTCCTTTTTAAGGCCTTCACCAAGCCATTTATCTGGTCACTGTACCTTCCCTGGGGAC